CAGAAGCTGTTTGTATCATGCTTTGCGACGACGGCTAGTGACCCCGCGACCACTCCCGCTCTACTACACACAACACCGCATGCGGCAGCGGGCCGGCTCATCTATACGGCGTAAGTGAAGAGGAATAATGTAATTGTACAAAACGAGGCATTCGCTGTACGAGGCCCTCCCTGTCAAGGCAGCCGCTGAGTAAAGGCAAAAGAGGGAAGGTCCGTAACAGGAAGCCATAAGTTAGTCCGACCGCCCAGCTATATCCCTGACGGGTAATCCCCTTTGCCGTGACGCCTTCCCTAAAACCCACTCTCAAAACAAGAATCAAGAACCAAATTACGGCGAAAGAAGGAACGAGATTATGACCCCTTAATCTCGCCCTCATCCTCGTCGTCCAATCTTCGCCTCTTAGCCTCCCGCTCCTCCCATCCCTCTGGGTCCTCACTCCGTCTTCTCACCTGGGGCGAAACCAGCCCTCCGCCGTCAAGGTCGCTCCCGTTAAGCGCCAGGTTGGAGCCCTCGTGAGTGTCTAGATCGTTAGCCGCCACCTTGAGCGCGGCATCCGAGTCGCCCCTATTGCTCGCTTGTAACGCGGACTCGGCACCGTTGCTATTGCTCTCGCCACCGACGGCTGCCGCCTGCAGCTCGTCTCCATCTTAGTAGCCGCCGAGTCCGAGGGGTCCTCCTTTTTATGGAACCTCCTTATTGTCGTGGCCTTCCCGCTCCGGCTTGCCGTTTAACGCAAGATTGGGGGGCGGGGACTCTGCGTGCCGCCGAAAACGGTGCCTAGGGCGTCGGGGTGCCGTACTGGCTCAAGTAAAAGTCCATCTGGCTGAAGCTGAGCTCGCCGCGCGCGGGTACTCTCGAGATGACTCGGGCGAGCCGGGTACTTAGAGTCCTGTTTGCGCAGCGGGTTCTCCTTATAGAACTCCGTCATGAGCTCAACGGCCTTTACGGTATGTGTCTCGTTGCCCTTCAAGCACCGCCACCACGGCTCGCCGTTGACGTCATCGATCTTTTCACGCGTGACGGACGAGGCGAAGAAGATGGCGGCGATGGCCACGTCGCGCGCGCCGAGCCAACAGCGGGCAGCACCGTCAGGCACGAGTCGTTGCAAGAAGGGCCCCAGGCCGAGTCACGCATCGGCTTGTTCTGCAGCAAATCTAGCTGGCTCATGTAGTCGGTGCAGCCGCAGGTACCGGGTTGTCCCACCATAAGGGTCGAAGGTGAGCGTCTCGAGCATCAATTCCTCGTAAGCCAAGATGCTGTCACGCCCACTTCCAGTATTCCCTTGCTCTGCTCATCAATAATGAGCTTGGTATTTTTTTGTGCAACCTTCGCGACGGCAATTATGAGATCCTTTGTTTTCCGGCAGTTTTCCTCCGTCTTGTTGGCAAGGAAGAGGGAGGTTGCCGCAATGTTCTGCAGGATTTGTTAGCGCGGTTCTTTCGTTGCTACCAGTTTCAGCAGAGCTACCTACGTAGTGGTGGATGCCTCCTTTCTCCTCCATCATGCTGTAACGCATATAGAACCGGTGGAAGAACACGCCGGCGACCCATAACGTAATTTGTGGCAGCTCGAGGAGAATCCCGGCCTGATAGATGAAGTTGACGCCTTTCGCCCTCCGGAGTCTGTCCTCCACCAGCGGCAAGCCCTCGGCGACGCTGGGGGTGCTCGCTACTTCGTCCGCGGTAAAGAACCACTGATTCGGCCTCGGCTGCGGAGCTCGGTGCGGACTCGACTGCCCAGGTGAGTGTGCGCTCCGACGGGAGTGTGGCCGCGGCGGCGACGTCCTCGATGAATAGGCGGGGGGAGAGGGAACTGCTGGGGGAACATCCCGTCTCCTTGATGGCGACTTCGATAAGCGATCGATGGCAGCGGGCATCGGTTTCGGCGGGAGCGACGGCGGCTGGTAACCTTCCCTCACGGGGCGGTATCTGTCGACACTCGACATGTTTCCTGTTTGCGCGGTGCAGTGGCGGAAGAGTGGGTAGGTAGTCGTGAAGTCGTCGTCGGGTCCTCCTTTTCCCTCTTACTGGAGAGCGCGCAATTAGATGAGTCGCATTGATAATGGTGGTTGTGGTGAAGTCGAGGACGGTTCGTCGATGGAGAGATGCGTTTTCGAGCTCGCAACGGATCAAGGAGTCGCGATCAATCAAGTATCGCGAGTCCGCGACCGTTTATCAGGGCGCGTGGGGCCTCTTGGGCTGTCGTGGGGCCGTGCACGCGGCATCCCCAATCCATTTTGGTCTTGGTTGGGTCGTTAAACACTCTCCCAATAGCACACGTGGGTGTTCTAACAAAGACCGGCGGAGAGAATGATTGATAGAATAATTGCACAGTACAGATCAAAACGTTGCCTTCAGTTGGGGTATCTTGCATCATTTTGGTTCACCATCCCTTTCTACATAGGCACGTACGCACTAATCGTTCCCAAACATCCCAGCAGAATCGTTCCTCCCCCACAACTTAACGGTCCGATCATGCCCACCACTAACAATCCATCTCCCGTCCCTGCTCACATCGACACTGGCCACAGGGCCCGTATGGCCTGTGAGTGACTGAGCTAGAGCCCAGTCGTCAGCTGAAAAGACATTGACTTTATGGTCGAACCCTGCCGAGACCAAGAAGGTGCCCGACTTCTTGGGAATCTGCATGCCCTTCTCATCCTGACCGGGGTGAACGCCCTCCACGGGGTCGTCGAGGCCCTTGAACCACCTGACATCGGACACGGCACTCGTGTGCGCGCCGATACCCCCGGACCGCTGCACCTTTCTGACATCCCAACACTTGATCCACCCGTCGGCAGACGCCGTCAGTACCCGGTGGCCGTCCGGGCCCCAGTCAAGGCCGTAGATGGGCTTGATGTGGCCGTCGTTGCCGCCGTCGAGAATCATGACCGTCCGGCCCGAGCGCAGATCCCAAATTCGCCCGATGCTGTCCAGGCCAGCGCTGGCTAGAAGAGACCCGTCCGTGCTGAAGCTGACGGCGTACACGCCTCGTGAGTGGCCTTCTTGCAGGACAAGCTCTGTGGTTGTTTCGACATCCCATAACCTCCACGACGTGTCCTCTGACGCTGAGGCCAAGTACCTCCCGGATGGGTGGAACTCTACCCGACATACTCGCTGAGAGTGGCCGGAAAGGGTCGAAAGTGGCGTGTCCTGTGATAATGACCATAGATGGATTTGTCCTTCTGCACCTCCTGAAGCCAAGTTGACGCTGCTTTCCGAGACATTACTCTCGGGTAAGGTCGCCCCGGGCATCCATGATATACCGCTGATTTTGTTCGTATGGCCTCTTAGTGTTCGCTTGTGCTCGAGTGTTGGGATGTCGATAAGTTTGACCTGGGCCGCCCCAGTTCCCGGTGGCCACTATCTTGCCATTGGGCGATATCCTTGTCATGGAAACATGACGGTCTCCTGCTGTCTGACTGCCCTGCAACTCAAATGTCTGCAGCCGCTCTTTGATCTCCTTCCGGAACTTTACGTGTGTGCGCAACGGAATGGTGGCCTCCTTTTTTTGGAATTCGATGCGCCGTTTCGCTCGCGGTATCGAGTACTGGGCGATATTGATCCGCGCTTGGAGTAGCTCCTCTGTGCCCCTGGAATAAAACTCCTCCTCTTGCTCCTCCCCTTCTTCTTCCTCCTCTTCCGCATCCTGCATCTCCACATCCACACCCTCCTGGCCGCCGGCTTGTTGCGCATGTGCTTGTTCAGTAAGGAGCTCTCGTAGTCTATCGCGCCTATCCGCGGGGCCCTCGCCAAAGAGCGTAACCGGCTGTCCTAATTCGCGAAGCTTTGATCGTACTCGTCCATCGTCGGTTGGGACGGCAATGGTTGCGGCTAGCCGTTTCCGTTCAAACTGTGATAGAAGGGCTGACGCCTTCTCTGGCGCAATGCCGGCCCCGGCGCCGGGAATATCATAGTCGCGGTCAATAGCTGCCGCGGTGCATGTTAGCAAATCACCGACGAATCAAAGAATACCTAGTGTACGTACGAATGGAGTTCAGATCGATGCCACCTCGTTCCTAGACGGATAGCGTGTGTTAGTTATTATTGAGTTTGTTGTGAATTCACGGTGGACGGCGAGCATTGGGGGCATTCTTACCTCGGGCTCGGCTTCTTCAACGTATGCTCTGCGCGATGGGTGCATCATTTTTGCGGTGTTGATGCTGGAATTGTTCCCTTCTCGGAGCAGCAGTTATCTGCATCAGGCAAAGCTCTCTTGATGGACCGCGTTCTGGAGTTCTGGAGCTGCGGCCTAGTGGGGCTTTCATGGGCAACTTGCCAACGGTAATATGCGTACAAAGTACGAAGCACCGTCTTACGTTACCAGAACACAACGAAAGCCATCCGGGGAAGCAAGGGCTCAAATTTCAACGAGGTTTGTACACATTTATTATTGACACTCCGTTGTTTCCATACTTTTAAAGATGAGTCCGTTTTTCTTTTCTAAAATTTTGTTTTCCTTCAGTTTGTACTCGGTATTGCTAGGTTAATATTTCTCGCTTTTTTCGCAGAGGGTGGGTATTCTGAGTTAGTTACGTAACTACGACGTAACATTAACTAATGCTCGTCAGTATCTAACTAACCCTAACCCTATATCAAGAAATGTTCCAGTTTGGTGTTGATGGAGGTCTGTCCCAACCGAGGTGACCGTTAACGATGAGCGGGAGGAAGCCTTCCGTCGAGTATCGCACATAAACATCCACGGACATCTTGCCCGATGCCACCGACAATGGCGCGATGGTTCGTGTACAGATCCCTCGAAACGAAGGGGTCGCCTGTCAGCTGGCCTCCCTTCATTGGTCGCCTTGTTATGCCACTCTTTCTTTGTGCAACAACTTCGCAGGGAGGCAACGTAGGTCATCCCAAAAGAATTTTGTGCCCAGTCAGCGATGCATATTATTTGGAAATCGTTCACTGCAATTTAGGTCACATTCTCATGCAGCTAACTCCGTAAAGTCGGGTCATCTGGGTAAAATAGAAGCACCCAAGTTCAAAATTGCGGGTTTCCTGGGGAGATGGGCCGCTCCCCAGTCTGGGGGGCCACCCGTGCGCCGCAAACAGGGCGATTTGGGGCTGAGATCGATCAGCAACCAGCGCGGCACAGCCAATGGTATGGCCACAATTTTTTTTTAGGTTTCTTGTTTGCTGGGGCCTCAGCGCCCGCATGTGAAAAGCGCTGGAATAAATGATGGCACCCCGCCACTTGCTGCCCTTTCTCCCTTCTCCAAGTGAACGAACACTTTCTAGAACACGCAGTTCACAAGACGCACCCCCAGAACGCAGACATCACTCAATGCAGATCAAGGCGACTAAGCAAGACAATTCTACTTCTTTTTTCAAATACCAGATGCGTGTTATCCCGAGCCACAAAGGACTGAGCCGGAATACCGAAAAGCGAGCTGACGCTGGACGCCGCCGGGGAAAGGCTTGAACGATCTAACCACCACACCCGCCTCGTATCTCGACCCGACCACCGGAATTGCACGCATTCTGAACTTTTTTTTTATTTTGATTTATCTTCCGATTTTGACATCCATCACCGTTTCGAGCAGCCAGCGGACCAAGGCGGCTCGATGCATTCCAAGGCCACCCCCGCGCTCCATACTGTGCGTGGCTTCAACGGAACTCCGACGGTTTCTGGCGACGAGGATTCGGATTACTGCCCTACTCCTCAGCCTGGCGACAAGAGCCGTGCCAGACGAGCCAAGAAGCCTCATGCAATCAACGATGTTGTCAGTGCCAACTGCAGCCCGGTGATCCGGCCGGCGGTCCCTCAGGGCGGCCTGAGCGGCATCAGCAGGCTGCGGATGCAGCTCCGCACACTGGACATTTCGGCCAGTAATGGGGGAAACTCGACGGCTGCCTCCTCGCGCACGACCTCTCTGACCTACAGTGAGAGTCTCCGCTCCCCTGATGCTAGCGATGTTACGGCGGCCAGCAGTGGCCGAGACAGTGGCTACAAGAGCCAAACCGAAAGCGGCAACAGCGAAGACGAGACTGCGTCGCAGGACAGCAGCCGCTACGAAATTGAGCTGGAGAACGACTTTGAGAGCGAGGCCAATAGCCGCACAGTTGAGAACGCTGCTCCTCCCCGCCGTAAGATGACCGCGGACGACTTTGAGCATCTTCGGTGCCTTGGAAAAGGAACCTACGGGACCGTTCTGTTGGTCAAGCACCGCGCGACTGGGCGGTTGTATGCCCAAAAGCAGTTCAAGAAGGCCTCACTCGTCGTGCACAAGAAACTGGTCGAGCAAACCAAGACCGAACGCCAGATCCTCGAGAGCGTCAATCGGCACCCTTTCGTCGTCAAACTGTACTACGCGTTCCAGGACCAAGAGAAGCTGTACCTAATTCTTGAGTACGGCCAGGGCGGCGAGCTTTTCACCCATCTGAGTACGGAGCGGATGTTCTCCGAGGAAACGGCCGCGTTCTACATGGCCGAAATGGTCCTCGCGCTGACCCACCTGCACGCGAACTTGGGGGTGGTATACCGGGACCTCAAGCCCGAGAATTGCCTCCTCGACGCCGAGGGCCACCTGCTCCTGACGGATTTCGGACTTTCCAAAGTTGCGGTCGATTCCGATGCGTGTAACTCGATGCTAGGCACCGTCGAGTACATGGCGCCCGAGGTGATCCAGGGCAAAAAGTACGGCAAGGCAGTCGACTGGTGGTCGCTCGGGGCGCTGGGGTTCGACCTTATGACGGGACACCCCCCCTTCCGCGGCCCGAATCATGCCAAGATCCAGGACAATATTGTGCGCCAGAAGTTGGCCCTGCCCTTCTTCCTCAGCGCCGACGCGAAGGACCTGCTCACACGCCTGCTCCGCAAGGACCCGGCCAAGCGCCTCGGATCCAACATGCCCAAGGATCTGGCCACCATCAAGAAGCATCGTTTCTTCCGCAAGATCGACTGGTATGTCAAGTTCGCGCCCGCATAGCCTCCCCTTCCGGGCTGTGCCGATGATTGCTGTGATTTTATGGCCTTTGCTCTGCTTGCGAATGCTTATCCGTGACGTCGTAATTGAAAATGGAATGGCTGATCACTCTCGTCATAGGACTCGGCTCGCCACGCGCGAGCTGGAGCCGCCCATCCAGCCGCTCATCACGGACCCGGAGCTGGCCGAGAACTTCTCATCCGAGTTCACCGAGCTCTGCCTCAGCCCGGTCGTGACCCGTTTCGCGGAGGCGGCTGGTGGTGGCATCGGCATCAGCAGCGGTAGCGGCAGGGATGAGCTCGCTCAGGACGACCCGTTCGGCGGCTTCAGCTTTGTCGCGCCGAGCAGCCTGTTGGAAAGCCATGGGTTCAGACTTCCAGCTTAGACTTGGACGCCTCGCCTGTTGAAGCGCAGCACGGCTGACGCAGTTGATTCTTTGTTGCGGGTGACCTTGCTGAGCTGGAAGCTTGCGACCTGTGGAACCAGGGGGTGGGTGAGGTTGGCCGGTTGGTTTGCTTTGGAGAAGTTCGCTTGGAGATTAGGCGAGAGAAGGGGAGAGGAACGTGGAGGGCGGGGAGGAGGGGGGATCCGTTCACTTTGGTGCTGATCACCTTGATACCTACCCGCAGGGCTTTTTTTGAAGTGGGATGGATAGTGCAGCTGCTGATGACTGCCCTTTTCACACATTTTCGCTCATTATCTTGCGGTCCTTGAACTATGGATAGAGTGCGGCAGATGTCCTACTGGGTAGCATAGAGCTCACTGATATCATGCGCTGATCCCAAAGTCCCGGATTGCTGATGCGTTTCAAGAGTGACAGGTATGCTGTTGATTCATTGTTGCTCTCATCCTCTGCCACAGCCCCCAGGACCATCGGCGTCGATCCCTGAAAATAAATAAAAGACTTTCAACGGCCGACCTTAGTCACAGTTAGGTAAGGATTCAGGGCCCCACCTTATGCAAGGACGGTTTGGCCAGAGCCGATTCCTTCTTCCCGCTTCAGGTCCCGAGAAAATGTAACCGCCCCCTGGCAGCCGTTGCGCCCCAATCGGGCTCTGCATGCTTGCCTGTCTTGCCTGTCTATGGAGGGCGAGGAAACACGCCGATGGCATGGAACATTCAACGGTGATCTCCTTGTCAGACGGCGAATTAAAGCCCGTAATAGGCAGGAAGGTTATGTACTTTTGACCCACCGTAACCGACCTGATACGATGGAACCTAGGTAGGGTCGTTTGCCGACGAACTGTGTCGAGCTTTGGCGGGAGAAATGCAATTCCGGGACTGGGACGAGAGATCGGGCATCGGACCACATCGGGTAGACTGGACAGACTCCCTTTGGTTTCGCTGGTAGAAAGAACAAACAGACAGAGCGAATGAGAGACGCCGGATTTTGTCACCTGCACCAAACGGCCGCAGGATGCGACCTCTTCCATGGATGGTTTCCATACCAACATCAACCGTGGTAAACTGAGCGAGGATGGTAATGTTGGCGGACAATCACCGCCACCGCCAATATCGATACAGAGAGTGACTGAGCCTGAGAATGACGCGTACCTCGTCTCTATCAATGCGGGCGATTCTCGTCAAGCCACCGCAGTCTAACCAAGGTAGTTAAAGCGCATCCTCCAAACCGTGACACGATACCCGTCGCGATCCGGGGCTGCATGGCCCTTTCCGCACGGCCACAAAACCCCGGAAATTTGACTTTGTGGCACGGCGAAATGCTTGTCAGCGGGGGTCAAAGCATGGCACATATGTCCATGTCCAAAACCTCGAACCCCTCAGCCGCGGCGCCGAGTAAGCCAAGCTGCCTTTTTACGCCGACGGCTCATGAAACGGGGCGTTCCGAGGACTCGCATGCCGCCCCTGCAGCCTTAGGTCTCCATCTGTGAGGGATGATGCCTGCTGGGAAGGCCGGGAAGGAGAGAGGGGTTGGAGGTCGCCGGTTTGGTTGATTCTGGGCCATGGTGACGAAATCCTGGGGGCACTGGTGATGGTTGATGATTGATGGTTTACCTTGGCTTGTCCGGCGTTATCTCTGCATGTAGGGAACATGTAGCACGGGGCACCGGAGAAAGAGTCCGCAGAAACTTAAAGGATGTCTGTTAGCTTGCGGCCCCGATTGGGTTACCTGTACCGGCGAACTAGGTAAATTGGTAAAGATCCTCCAATTCATGGAAGTCGGTGCGTCCCTTGAGACTTGGGGAATTGCGGTTCCCCATGGTTTCTTCCGAGACAGGTGAGCGGGTCTCAACGCCAAGAAGCTTGGGAGCTCAAAAACGCGACCCCCAACTGACAAATTGCTGGGCTTTTGTTGGATGCGGTGTGGTTGCTGGGTTATTTGGTTGTTTGCACATATGAAACGGAGAAACGGAGAGAGCACGTTGTTTGGGACGCCAAGTTTTTGCTATCGTCATCCCAGGCTGTGGGTTTCTGCAGGGTACATTTGGCGAGAGATGATCATCTTCAAGCCCTCTGGAGAGGAGCCCCCACCTGCAACCAACTGGAATTAGAACCAGAACCGATTGTTACGGAATTCCGTGGTTTGCCGCCATCCGATCTGTTATCTTTTGATGATACTTCTTGTCGGTTGATTTCGGGTTCCAGCCTCCTGCTAGGCGGCCCTTTTCCAATTTTTGATGCCTAGGTAGGCTTGAGGTTTGCGGTTTGTTCAGTCCGAATACCTGGGTAATGACGTTTCATGGGGCGGAACGTCGGGGCCTCGAGGTCTGGGCCTTGTCAGCGAATTTTAAGCGCACGGCAGTCAAGGCTGCGCTAAACCAGCTCTGGTTTAGGTTCCAGCTGTGAGCAGGCTGTGGGTTCACCCCACGACCCACAACTGTATGGAAGTTACAATGTCGTACCTATATCGACGCTCACTACTCATCGGGGAGTGATCGTCACGAATAGGCTCGAGAATAGTCTGTGATACCAGCTGGAAGAGAGACAAAGCAGCCACATTCTCTTTGTCACTCGAGTCCCGGTGCCGATCCCTTTGGTGCGCTACCTGCGGCAGTCAATTCTAAAGGTCCATGATTCATTCCCACAACCTTCGGTAAGGTACCGAAGTACCTCTAGCCACCAACCGCCGTCGTGACAAACCGGACAATGTTGGCCGGTGGCTGCGCCTCTATCTAGGCTGATGTTTTTCCGCCGAAGGACATCGATGATGTATTCATGACGACCTAGGTTTCTTCAATCTTGCCAAGATCCCCCACCCCGAGTACTGGTCTTCTCAAGCCTCTCCTGTGACCCCTGCTCTGCAAGGTAGTTTGGTGTATGCCGTCCCCGAGTCGGAATTAAAACAGCACCCCCCCCTCTTCGTCCCTGCCTGTTCTTCTTCTTTCCTTCATCCTGCATCCGTCCTTCTCTCTCGAGTCCAAATCCCGAATACTCGGCATACTCCTTCGGCACTCGATAAAAAGACACGATGGACTTTAGCTGGATTTTGGCGTTCGTTCTCCTTTTCGGTAAGTCGTTTCTATCGAGTTCTTTTGTGTTACCTTTTGTCGCTTGCCCTCCTGGGCGGTCCTCTTCCGTCGAAGTCATTACATCGCTTCCGTCGAAGCGGTAAATCTCCTTTGTATCACAAATCACTTCCATCGGAGAGGATCAACTAACCTGATCGCCACCTAGTTGCCCCATTCGCTGCTGCCACACCGGCACAGTTCTGCCCCCCTGGAGCGGGGGGCCTCTGTTACAGCATTGCCGTCCCCATCACTTCGGCAAATGCTGGATCTGGGAATATATATTTCCAGATTAAGGCGCCAACCTCGCTCCAATGGGCAGCTCTGGGCACTGGAACGGGAATGGCGGACTCCAGCATCTTCCTGCTGTACCAGGATGGGAGGGGCAACGTGACCTTGTCGCCACGGCGAGCCACGGGCCACTCGGAGCCCAAGCTGGACACGAGCAACACCGCGGCCAATTTGACCCTCCTCGCTGGTAGTGGCGTCAGCGACGACGGGTCGACCATGACGGCCAACGTGGCGTGCTCCAACTGCCAGTCCTGGAATGGCGGGGAGATGTCGCTCAAGAGCACGAGCGCGGGTTGGATCGGCGCCTGGAAGCAGGGATCCTCGCTCGACTCGACCGACAGAGCCGCCCCCCATTTCGTACCACGACGACCGGACCCTATTCAACGTCGATCTGACCAAAGCAACTGTCAGCACCGACGTCAACCCGTTCGTCCAAGCTAACCAGAACGGGAATGGGAATGGATCTGGCTCCGGCTCTGGTGGTGGATCGGGCTCCGGCGGCGGCGATTCTGGTTCTGGCGATGCCGGTTCTGGCTCTGGTGGTGGCGGCTCTGGTTCTGGCTCTGGCGGCAGTGGCATCACCCAAGCCGTCTTCACAAAGCCGGTGATCCTGGTCGCGCACGGCATCATCATGGCGCTTGTTTTCGCCCTTCTCTACCCTCTTGGCTCGGTAGCCATGGCGTTAGTTGGAAAGTGGTGGTTCCACGGCATCTGGCAAGCGGTTACCTTCTGCCTAATGTGGGCAGGGTTTGGACTGGGTATCGTCACCGGCGAGAAATTTGGCATGGCAAGTGCCCCCCCCCCCCCCGAGTTTTACTCGAGTTCTTCCACTAACAGAAATGTATAGCTTTGGACCGAACCGCATCTCATCTTCGGAACTGTCATCGTCAGCTTGTTGGGCCTCCAGCCCATCTTCGGCATCTTGCACCATCTGCATTATGTCAAGGTGCAGCACCGAGGTGTGATCAGCTACGTGCACATCTGGTGGGGCCGCATCCTGATGGCGCTGGGTGTGATCAATGGCGGGCTCGGTCTGAAGCTGGCGAGAGAGGACAATGGCCCCATAATTGCGTATGCTGTCATTGCTGGTGTGATTTACTCCGGCTATCTGGGCTATAAGCTTTGGCGTTTTTTCTACCATGGGACTCCCGCTGTCGGTAAGGAGGAGGGGAATCCGGCGGCGAACGGAAGGCGAACGGTCGTGTGATGAGTGGGGGAATAATGATTTATTGTGCTTTGGGTTTTTTGTTAGGCAATTTTTTGTTAGAGGCGTCGTTGATGAGATCACGAGGTATGGTGCGGGGGAAAAGGCGGAGTGATACCATAACTATTAGCTACGTAATTTTAATAAGGCAGCCTTTCAGCCTTCCATGCACCTAGGGCATTTGCCTCCTACGAACTTGACATCGTAAAATTCAATAGGTAGCGGGTTTGCAGCCATCCATACACCACAGCGTATCAGTGGTATCGTCCTGGGACGGCATGTGTGCCAGGGTTGGGGTTGGATGCCCAGGTATTGCCTAGGTATTTAGAACAGCATGTTTTAAAGTCCGAGGGACTGGATAGTTCGCCGACCTATCTCTTTTATGATGTGTAATGATTGTTTCAAGTTTCAATTCACCTCGAGTCATTTTGGTAGGAAACCCAACCCAGGAAAGAAACGCCACCTGCCGTTGCCTTCAGTTCGAAGTGAATCGTGCTCGACTCGAAGAGGTGCAAGGCCTTGAATTGAATCACGTGATTGGACAACTAACCGGTCTCTCCCGATAACCCCGATCAGCGCACGGACCATTCGCTCCCACCTCCCCCAGTATGAGGTATGCACGACGCTGGCTGAGCCGGGGCGTTTGAAAACCTCTCAGCGACGGACCTCCACCTTGCCCATCTCAGCAGCAGCCGACTGCCACTCGTCTTCCCCTCTCAATTTAGGCGTGTTCAATTGCGACACCGCACATCAAATCAAGATGATCTCTAGGGCTTCGGTACGTTTTAGTCTACATCAATCGATTGTTGTCATTCCTGCATCGCCCATTGGTGAACGACGCATGGAACGCATGCATGACCATACCGTTGACGAGGAGCAAATTACTGACTGTCATTTCACTAGAGCGCTCGCAAGGCCGTTGCGGCCGTCTCCCGCTTGGCCACTCGCAATGCCGTCCCGATGAGGACCTTCATGGCCCCGACTGTCTCGCGGAGAGGTATGTACAACAACAACTTTTAAGGATCAGTGGCTGGGGATTGGAGCGTCGGTCACGCGGAAGACCCGGCAACGGTGGTGGGAACTGGCAACAATGGGTTGGCTATCGGCGATACCAATTGTACGGCGAATCTCTCAGCAACACTACCGACACATCATTTTTCGCCAGCGAAAGCGATAAACGAACACGTTCGAAAATGCCAACCCAACACCCTTATTTATGCCCCGCCACCCTCCCACCACAACGCGGCATCGAACGACCTCCACCCTCCCCATCTCCCCCATCGTTCCCCTCCGCCCCCAATTCCCAGCATACTAACGCCCGCGCACAGCCGACTTCGTCCAGGAGCTCTACCTCAAGGAGCTCAAGGCATACAAGCCGACGCCCATCAAGGAGACCGACTCGGTCGGCCAGGTCGCCACCTTCAGCCTGCCCAAGTCACCCAAGTCCCCCGAAGAGGCCGACCTGGCGTCGAGCCTGAAGGAGTACGAGGACATGGCGGTCGAGGTCGAGGGGCAGGAGGGCGCAGCAGCCAACCAGCCCGCCGCCGTGATCGAGGACTGGCTCGTTGAGGAAGAGGAGGAGGAGGCCCACCACTAAATCAGATATTTCTCGGCTATGAGGAAATAGGCGGGGCTCGGGACTGATGAAGGAAGGAGAGGTCGGGTTAACGACTGTTGTTCTCCTGGTTAAATGGAGATGGGAGGGCACAGTTCGATGGCAGGATAGGACAAAAAAGGGACTGATTTCCTAATAGTACCGGATGAGAGACAGGACGAGGCTGGTGATCGAGGGCTTCTCCGAAAGTGAGGAGCCGTTCCCGTAGCGGGGAATAACCCATGTACATTGTTCTTTAGCCTTGTTACAATATCACGCCCACCACCCGTTGGCCGTGGATACACACACAAACGCACCGTCGTTATTCTCCCCTCATTATCCTTCTATCATATGTTCGGATCGAACCGCGAGAGCTCGACGCGGAATGTGTGTGGTAAATGCCCAAGATCGAAAGCTGCTACTCCTGCCGAGGAATGACTGTGGGGGGACTTGGACTGGCGAGTTCAGTCATTCTGCTGGATGGTACTGTCTCGTAGTTGCTGTTGTTTCTGCATCCACCGAATCGTACTTGGTAAATAGGGTGATAGGCCACTTCAAATCTCCAGTACTACATCAATGCTCTCTAAGAGGAAGTGCCTACGCCTGGAATAGCGAAGATGATTGCTGCCAGCCAGCATACTACCTTAGGACGTATGGGACGAACGGGCCGGAGGGATTATTATTTAGTTAAGTATATTAGTATTATTCGACTATCTCGTTATGAAACGAGGGATGCAATGATGGATGTTGCGCAACGACAAAGACACAGCACGCTACCGGAGACCACTTTCCTCCCCGAATTAGATATTATTATTGCTCATGCATCCATCATTGGCCAGACAGTAGAGCGTTTCTCGTTAGCGACGCCGCCCACCAAGCGAAGGCGGAATAAGCGTAGGTAGTTGTTGCAAAACATGGGGCCTCCTCGCCCCGTAACTGGATCCGAAAGGATTTCTGTGTTGGGCAAACAAACAACATAACGCCCGCAAAGCCTCAACGTCTTCGTCAAGCAGACAAACAAGTCTTTAAAGAGTCATTCGCGTGAAGTGGTGACAACGGCCTCCCCAAGGTACCGCAATATCGGTAACTCATCATTCTTTGCAATGATGTCAAAAATCAACAATCCGGCAAGCCGACTCCTTTGCCCAAACGCCCTCCCGAGTGTGTACGTTCCAGTCAACCAAACACCCCGATGCCAGATGAAGTCCCCCACCACCTTCCATCCCCCCCTCCCTGAAATGCAACATGCTATGGGTTGTTCGTTGAAGTCATCAGCAGTGAGTTCTCTTCTTTTCTTATGATTGTGTTTTTTTTTCTGTACCAGCCCGACCAGACATAGACAAGGGGAATAAGAAAATTATAACAAGAACAGTCCAGGCCGTAGGAAAGCGGTCGTTGCAGACAGATATTGGGTAAAATAGTAGAGGGGCCCTTTTAGAGGCATTACATGTCGAAGCCGGAAGCGCCAAACATTTGCTCGTCATTGGTGTTGCCCCGGACGATCCCGCTCATCCGGTTGGAGCTCCGGACGTCGGCGTCGTTGATGTCATCCCAATCATCATCTCTCTTGCGGTCGGCGTCGTCCATTTCTTCGTCTTCGTACTTGCCGTACCGATCTTTCATGTGGTCGTCAAGGGCACTCTCATCGACGAAGGTGAAGCCTTGGAAGTTGGCCTGCACCGAAGGAGAGAGTGGCGTGGAGGTCGCGTATCCCTTGGCCAGGGCCGCAGCGCGCTCGTTCAGGGACCCGTTGGTGTTGAGGGCATTGGTGAACTCGGGGTCGAAGTACGAGACATCGGTGTCGCTCTTGAGTTGCGGCTTGAAGGGCGGCGTGATGAGCTTCTTGGAAAGCGCATCCCAATCGACATCATCGAAGAAGGCGTGTTCCTTGAGCTCCTCTGCGTCGTTTGTCGCGCCGAGCCGATGTTTCGGATTCCTGTTAAGTAATCCCTTGACGAAGTTCCGCCCTTCTAGGGAGAGAGTGTCGCGCGGAAACCTGACCTTGCCGAAAGCGATGTTTTTGTACATTTGCTGCGTGTCTTCGGCGTAGAAAGGACTCCAGCCACAACACATTTCGAACACAAGAACGCCCAGGGACCAGAAATCCACCATTTTAGTGTAACCAGTCTCGTCGAGAAGAACCTCGGGGGCAAGGTACTCGGTCGTGCCACAGAAAGTGTTGGTGGTGTCGTTTTTGGTTAGGTTGGCCTTGGAAAGCCCAAAGTCGCAGAGGGCAATATGGCCGTTGGCGTCTAGGAGGATGTTTTCTGGTTTCAGGTCGCGGTAGACGATGTCGTTTTGATGCAGGTGTTGGATGGCAAGGATGAGCTCGGCGATGTAGAACTTGGCCCGCTTTTCCTCAAACTTGCCGTCCTTCTGCAGATGCCAGAACAGTTCCCCACCGGACATGTAGTCGGTCACGAGATAGAGATCGGACGGCGTCTGGAAAGAGAACTTCAGGCCGACGATAAACGGAGAATCGGCCGTGGCGGTCCGCACCAGAATGTTGCGCTCGCCGACAGTATGGGCCACCTCTTTCTTCTGAACAATAACCTTCTTGGACAGTACTTTCATGGCATAGATGCGCTTGGTATCCTTCTTCCGGACTTGGTATACTTGGCCGAAGGTCCCCTTGCCGATGAGCCGGAGGATCTGGAAATCCCCGGGTCCGAAGTGCTTCTGCTCGGCCCGCTGGAAGAATGATTCCACGAAGATCTCGCCCGTTGGTGCGTTCTCGGCCATGGTATCCGCGTGGCCCCTCAGGGAGAACCAGCCCCTGACCGGCGCCTCTCTCTCCGAGGTCACCGCTTGAAAGTCGACGTGGCCGAGAAACTCCTCTCCGGATTGGCCGCGGCCGTAGACGGAGATGTCGACGAGTTTGTCCGAGGCAACAACATCGCTGTACACATTAGTCACGCCCCGCTTAGACCTGTCGCACCGTAGGGTACTTACAAGATGGCCTCGGCATCCCACTTCGGGCTGGTAAACGAACGGCGACCGGTGCGGTTACGGAAGGCGTCGAAGTCGGTAATGCTGGTGTTGCTGCTCTGTCTGCTTCGCATCGGGATAGCCATGGCCCTACCGGAATCGCTCCCCTGTCGCTTCATCGGCAAGCCACCCATAGAGACAGCAGAAATCGCGGCCTCCTCGTCATTTTCGGTCGGGCGAGGCCCAGAGGAGATGAGTTCGCTGCGTTGAAAAACCACAACGACGTAGGGATCTTGACACTTCCTTAGACCTCTGGCCTCGGTAATCTTGATGGTGAGTTTGCCTTTGGCCGCTGGCGCCTGTGCTCCCGATGGTGTCGGAGTGCTTGTCGCGGTTCGGTCGATCCTATCACCGTTTTTGTGCCTCGTATCCTCATGTCCCTCGCCATGGGAGGGGTAGGCCGATGACAGAGCGCGTTTCGGGGTCGATGTGCCGCTCTTTCTGTTTGTTAGTGTCTGCTTGAGATACAACAATGAGGTTGACTCGTAGGAAAGACCTCCATCGCTGGCACGGGGTTGCAGGCGGCTCGGAGAGCTAGGCGTGGGGGAAGAGCGTCCTGCAGGATTCGAGAGGTGAGGGGCGGACACGCTCGATTCGGACATCATGGTCGTCAGGGGGGCCAGCAGAGACGACGTCCTCGCTTTGCCTTTTACGAAATCTGGCATGCTCGGATGCCGCAGGCTGGCCGTCCGCGAGGCCGGCGGAGTCCCGTCCATGGATTTTCGGTTGGACGATCCTATGGGGAAATTGCGCAGCGAGGAGGGTTGCGAGGAAGGTTGCGAGGCCGGTGGTGTGGGATAGGAGCGCTGCTGGGCATGCGCATCCTCGTCAAGTGCAACCTCGGGGGGAGGTACCAACATATCGGGAGGTACCAGCATCTCGTGTGGTAGTAGTGGAACGACCAAAGGCGACGAAGTTGTACGGGAATCCGGTCCAAGAGGGGTGGATGGCAGCTCTACCAGTGTTGCAGCTTGCAACTGTTCCTCGAGAGTTGGGGTGGCCGGCTTCGAAGTGGCCGTGGGTTGCCCGCTCGTCCTGAAGGAACCAGACCACAACCGTTGAAGAGAGCTTGCACGAACCTGGTTAAAGTAGCTCATGATCCCCGGCAGCCGTCTGTCATGGAGATCTGGCTGCGGAGTTGCGACGCCGGACCGCGGGGAGTCGACGCCGATCTGATCCAAGCCATCATCTTCTGCCGCGGCAGTTCTGCTACGTGGGTTAACAGCGTCCATGGCGGCCTTGAGTGATTTTTGGTGGCGGGTCGGGAGAAGCAGGGACGCGGTGGAACGGGGGGTGGAGAACGGAACGGGAAGATGGGAGGAAAGTAGACAAGAGACGGTTGCAACCGTGGAGATAGATCGCTAACTCATGACAATGGTTTGGGATTGGGCTAGGGGTGAGCGAGCAAGGTTGAGCAAGGTTGTCTCGGGGAAGAGGGGCAGATAATAGTTACGTCTATGACGAGAGGAGGAACAGGGGAAAAAGTGGAAATCTCTGCCAGGACGAGATCGGCCCCAGGAAAAGGGTCTCACTCGGCAGAGGGGAAAAGACGGGGCGGTGGGAGGGGCAGTCTCTGGCTTTTGGTGCAAGGCGTGCAGTGCAGGCAACTTGTGGGCGAAGTGTAAAAGTCGTCTGCAGGCCGAGAGGAGACAAGACAGGGGAAAAAAAAAATAAACCCCCCTCTGGCCGAAAGCGCTTTCCTTGTGTGCTTGGGTCCCGGCGCAGCATGCACCCTTGATGCTTGCCATGTGGTTTTTGAGGGTCTTTGAGTGGGGAGGGGGATGACACCGGTTGTTCTCCAAGCTCCCGGGCCTGTCTGATGAGGGGAGGGGTGTCTTAGGGAACCCTGAGAAAGCCCTGAAAGAGCCCTAAGATGGCCCTGAAAAGGCAGGAAGGACAGCAGCTCGCTCACTCAGCGAGTCAGACAGTCCCAGATTTGGGGCGGGAGTGATGAAGACTCCACTTCCCTTTGGCACACCGCAGAAATGCCGCCGCAAAGACCGGTGTAACCCCCCGGGTTTGCATGTGCAAATCAACAAGGAATGGCAGGGTATGACATGGTATCTCTTTATGAGTGAGGGATATTCGCATGTCGATGCACCCATGATGTGCTCGAAGCGTTCTCGGCCAAAGCGCCCAAGAGAGGTAGCATTGCCGCAGCTGTCCGGCATGGTGGCAGAAAACCTCCTCGTTCCCGGGTGATGACGGCACTGACCGCGCTCAAATTCCATGGGTCGGGCGGGCTGGAAAGGTGGATTCGGCCATGTCTCATGCGGGTAGAATGCCCGAGATATGAGAGGGAATAGCCTGCTTGGGGCCAGGGGTAATCAATGGGCACGCATGAACAACAGGGTGACCAAACTATTGATCTGTCTCCATCGCCACTGGGCTATCGGAATGGAGGAATCCGGAAAAGAAGGCCCCCGAGATGTTGATGCGTCCCATCTGAGCCCACTCGGCCGCCAGCACCGGGGATAATAAGATGGAGCGAGTTGGGTCACCGGGCTCAAGGCAACCGAGAATCTGTTATGAGGCTCGATGGGAAAGAGCAGCGCAGTAGCCGGCATAGCCAGTAACTTCAGTGTGAGGTGATAAAAGCAATGCAAGTAGAATAAATGCGTTGGGCTTGCAGTCGCCCGGTGGATGGGAAGGATGGGTTGTGTGGAGTATGGGTAGATCTCAGAGAGAACAACGAGAACCGAACTTACTTTGACATCATGGCCTGTGTTGCCCTCCGCAACAGGTCCTGCGGTCCACCACCGGCGGTGGAATGGACGGCCGGAGCATCTCCGATGGGGCCTGACATTTTGCCTTTTGCGTCGCTCAGCCGAAGCAAACGCCAGGCGAAGGTGAAACGTATGTGTGTAGGTTGATCGTCCCTTGTTCGTCGCGCCCAGACAATGAATGACTGGGATGTCGAACCGGCGGTAGGTTGTTGTGTTTACCTAATTATTGGGTGATGTTGAAAAGACAAGAATGTTAATGTTGCCGCCCGCGAGTCTTCGGTCGTTTAAATGCCTGTGTGATTACGAATTTTTGCCGTTGGGGTTGGGTTTCCATTTGATGCGGGACCAGTTCCATCCAGGTTGGAGGACACGGCGCTGTGGTTTTAAGTAGGTCGATGGGATGTTGAGGCTTCCCACCCAGCGCTTGACGCATCCACCAGGGCACCTGCGATTCGATTCGTACTGAGTGGGGCTCCGACCCCAGTGACGATACTTGGCGGCCGACACCTCCCGAGACTGAGTCAACAAAAGAGGTGCCTGACCTATCGTCTGAAGTTACAATAAACAAAGTGAGGCAATGTAGGTAAGGATGGACTCTTCTTTGGAATTTGTTTATAGTTTCTGCGCAAAGGCCGAGTCTTTGGGAATCAACTGCTGATGAATATGTTGGGCATGCCTGTGGTAAGTATCATAATGCAAGGTCCTGACCGAGGAGAGCCCTACACCGACCGACCGACCTAAAGGCTGTGCTGCCAGCGCGTTTCGGCCTCGGTTCCTGGGGAGGCCCTGAGTCGGGTGCCCAACGTCATCGTCAGGCTCGGTCAGCTCACACCTCAACCGAGGCAAGCACAGATATGTAGATTTGAATCAGCGCGTCATAAATGGAGGCGGGTGGAATAGGTAGAATGGCGATTGTAAAGGTATGGCATCTTTGACAGAACTTCGGAAATTGGTGTACATGTCTGCCAACCAGCAACCTCCATGCTATTTTTAAATCACGAACAGGTCCGGCCATCCAGGACGCCGGGTCAACAGCGTTGACGGGCCAGGCCGGTCTTTTCACAGGCCGGTCTTTTCCCAGGCCAAACCTGAATTGATAAAAGGCTAGTCCGGCCTGCTTGAAACACGCAGAGTAACGTTGATATATTTTGCAGTTCATCAGCTTTTGCGCGGATCCAGGATAGCTCTTGCACGCGCTAAGAAATCGATGCCCAGCTTTTGAATGTTGTGTGACAGTGGCTCAGCAGAGTGGCACGCCTCGAAAAGGAAACGCTTCGAGTGGGTCAATGTGCTGGTTTCTGCGTCGCTCTGTCCAGGTATTCCATCCAGCAAGGTCATTTTCCCTCCTTTCAACCACACTTTCTCATGCTGCACATCGCTCCAGTCCAACGTCGAAGTGGCATTGGGTGGCGGCAACTCTGCAACTGACCCGATGCAGACAAGCCCATGGCTCTCCGACGGCCTAGAACGCCTTGGTCGCTCCAAGCTACCAAGCAAATCCGTTCGTTTCCTCATTCTTTCCGTCGTGCAAGGGTGTGGGCGATTGACATCTGGAACGCCAGTCGGAGAGCACGCCTTAGCGGACCAGGGAAGCCTTTTCCCGTTCTGCCTCAACCCGCCTCATAATGGGTCCAGCTTCAGCCTCTCGGGGAATACCACTACGTACCGAAAGCTCCATGTCCCACGTCGCACACAGACGACGGTCCTGCTGGGATTAACTAGTGTAGTGTCGTATTTGTTCCGGAGGTAATCGCCGGCGGCACGCACTTTGGCCAACGCAACCAGCACGTATTCCAGAGACGTGTTGAGATTGCCTCCTAGCTTCGCGGGCCAACACGACCAACTTTGTCCCCGGGCCCGTCCCATTTCAGCAACCAGCGCAACTGTAGCTTACGCCCCTGCGCCGACAACTTGCCGATGTATGCTGACATGTTGCTGGCTTGCGGCCGGGGAACTGACCGGTTCTGGTTTGCACAACATCAAGCTCGCTTAGGTGGTCTCTAAGGGAAACCACGATATTGTCATCACGGACGCATTCCCGTGGCACCATTGGGCGGGGTTTGTCTGTTGGCACCAGCTTCCTGTCTGTAAATGGCTTGGCGTGCGAACTTCCCGTAATGCCAAGTATTGGCGTTTGGGAGATGCACTTGTCTCTGACCTCGATGCCACCGGTTTCGGGGAGCAGAGCTGGCTGCTCTCGTGTTGGGGAAATGGACGTTGTTTCGAGGGTGAGACCTTGGGCCTTCGAGCGGGAGTGGCGCCTTACATTGGGTCTTCCCGGCGGATCAGCGTCAGCTCAGCTTGGTGGAAATCGGCTCTCTCGAAGCTGAATGGCAGGGGTACGATGCAACCCCAAGGAGGACAGAGGGATATCGCACATCATGTGATTTCATTCGGGTATTCAACATGCGGCTGGCACCTCCTTCACAGCGAAGGCACCGAGGGATTCGGCAAGGGAACAGAGGAAGCGCTCGATGGACTGAGAAAGAAGAGACGGAATGAACAATGCAAGCCCACGCACCCCCACTAAACTCCGTACCCGACCAGCTCTCAACAGCCTATCACCATGCCCATGCTGCTATGCCATCGCCTCATATCGTAGATCATAGGCAAGTAAAGGCAGACCCAGGCCATCCATTATCCCCATACGATATATCTCAAGGAACAGTGCCAGCTGCACTGGCTTTGACCTGAGCAATCAGCTCTTGTAGCTTGCTTTCCAGCTCGGGATTCGTTCCCCTCGGATACTGCTTCGGATGAGGCGACCGAGGCGCAAGAGGGTCGGGGTAATCCGCTTAGAGTCTTGTCAGTATACATGCTTCTGCAGCTACCTTATGGGTTGGCCAGCAAACTTACCAACACTGAAGCGTGGGTCCTGGAGCCGATGCTTCTGCGTCTCGTACTCGTCGTTGAACTTCTTGGTGTTCCAGTTGCTTGGCTTCACGTAATTAACGGACTGCCCGGGGTCGGACATTAAGTCGTCTGAGTTCATCTTGACGTTTTGCGTTGATGGATTTTTAGATGCCTTTGTAACGATTATTGAGCCTACGTCTCCTGAGTCCTGAGTGTCAGTTGTGTATGATACCCAGGCAACGAGGGAACTTGAGAGAGTGGGATGGGTATTGGCACAACAACTGGGCTTGGGACCCTTTTAACCACACGATGGAAAATCTGTGGAATTTGCGGTTTGTTTGGAGGGTTTACATGTAAAGCCAAACAGTAGACGTACCTGAATGGCTTGAAACGTAAATAATGCCTACGTATTCTCTCGTACAAGTTGGTGAGTTCAGTGCGACGGAATGTTGCGATGGTGAACCCTCGACGCCGTCCCCCCCCCCCCAAGCAGCAGATCATGGTCTGTGCGTCTGCGAAAAGTAACAGAAAGTGGGGGCGGAACCTCGACTTCGGAAATCCATCAACAAACACAAGATGAGGCTTCAACACACAAGCTAGCGAATGTCGCTTCATTATTATACTGCCGATTTTCCAAACAACTGCCAATATAGCCACGAAATCAGAAGATTTGAAAGGCTACAATCATTATCAAAATGGGCAATGGAAACAAAATCCCAGACGCCTGGGACGACGATGATTGGGAAGTCCAGGCCGACCGCGCAGCAAAGGAGGACTCTCCCGTACCAGAACCCCAACAAACTCCCATGACACGCGCTGAACGTCTGGCAAAGCACGCCGAGGAGCAGCGAAAGCTATGGGATTCGGCGTATGTCACAGATCTCAACTAGTTCACGTTAATCTCTTGAGACGAGACCTCTAACGCTTCGCGTAGAGAGACCCCCAATGAAGCACCCTTCTTGCCTCCGACGAGTCCAGTGCCCCTGACTACGGCCTTCAAGCCGGTTGTCAAACTCTTAAGCCGCAAACCCGCCCCCCAGGTCATCACCAGGCGCGACCCAGTTACCGGCCTCGAGCAATTGACGATACAAGACGACGAGGAAGACGAAACCGAGAAGAAGAAGCAGGAGACTCCCGAGGAGATACGGAAACGTCAGCAACGCGACCTGGAAGAAAAGCAAAAACGGTACGAGCAGGCCCGAGCCAAGATCTTTGGCGACTCGGATCCTTCGTCAGGCCAGTCCACGCCGCGCACCGGCACCCCGCCATCAGGAGGAGGAGACGCCCGGCAAAGCTACAAGGGACGGGGCAGGGGGCGTGGCGGCCGGGGTCGCGACCAAGACAGCAACGGGCGGCAGGACAAACGCCAACCGAGTATTCAGCAATCTAATGGGACGAGGGAATTATTTGATCCCGGTTATTCGCCGAAACCGGGCTTCAATATCCAGAAACGCGGCGGCGGCTCCGCCCAGGCCGGGAACCGATCGAGCGGGCCACGCGAGCAAGACCAAATTATACGTTCACCGAGGGGGCCGGATGGGAGCGGAAGAGGGGGTTTTGGTTTTGCGAGACGAGGTGGTGAACAAGGTTGAATTAGCTGCCGGTGCGCTGCGATGACCACGATGACGACAATGACGCAGTTACCATCCGCCACCAATCTTACCAGCTAGCTGAACCACCCGTTCAGTGTCGCTGATTGGCTTGCCGACATCGCTCACGACCTCGCGATAGCTCGTGTACACCAGTTTATCTAACTGTATGCCCGTGATATCCGCCCAATGCGCAAGGGTATCCCGAATATACGACGGAGAAATACCAGCAATAAGCTCCATCGACTGGTCGTCACCCGCACCCTGTGCAGGGTCTGACTCATCGCCGGAAAAGTACGCCTCGTCGACTTCAGCCTGCCAGGCTTTCTGCTCATCCGGCCCAGGTTTCTCGCCGAAATTCTTGCGATCGATGACGACTTGATCGTCGACCTTGATTTGGCCGCCTCCGTTAGTGCAGCCCCCAGGGCACGCCATGACTTCGACATAGGAATGTTCCAAGGTAGCTGACTTGCCGGCCGGCCTACGTGCGCTACCAAACGGCTTTCCGCCCGGCATGCGGGATGCCTTGGCCGGTTTCAATTTCCGGACAAGGTTTTGGATGTTGCGGAAGCCGTAGTAGCGCGCCGCCTTGAAGATGGTCTCGCCAGAAGAGCTGAGGACGGCAAATTCAACGACGTCAGCGTTCCTGCCGCGCGTCATCTGGATCTGCGAGCCGGCGTGCTTCGATAGAACATCCTGGATGATGTAATGCAGATTACCTCCGGATGTCCCGCCATCCCGGAGCTGCTTGCGCCGTTGCGCGGGAAACAAAAACCGATGGATGTCCGAGTCTGGAAACATGGGTTGCTTGACGGGAGCAGACTTGGCCAAGCCAAAGAAATCTACCCCCTTCGACGCGGCGAGCATGAGGATCTCCTTACTCGTGATGACGCAGTCCACGTCCCTGACCCCCCTCCCCGGCACCCCCCCACTACCCCACGCAGTATCCGTCAACTCCTCCCGACTCGCCTCTAGCTTCTTATCGAAACAAGGCATTACCGCCAGATGCCATACCCTGTCCGGCGCGATCCCCAACACACGACTGAGTGTGGTCTTCAGCAGCGTGCCCATCAGCGCCTGCGGCGACTTGACTCGCGACAGGTGTGGCAGCACGTACGGGTGCGTCTTCTCTGCATAGCAGACCCACCCGGGACAAGAAGACGTGAGGATAGGCGACGTGGGCTTATCCGAACCACCCCAGGATCCGCCGCCCAAAACCTCGTCCGACCCGAGCATGAGACAAGCCTCCCGCGCCGTGTTGGTATCAACTACCCAGGTAAACCCATTCCCGTGCTTCCCTCCCCCCGCCAAGCCAGCCGGGCCCATCAGAAGTTGCTCGATCATCCACCCGGCCTGCTGCTCCGTCACGGCGCCCCCACAGGCTGCCGCGAGGCTGGCTCTGGTCTGGGGCGAGACGCTCGCGACGAAGAGCTTGGCTTCGGGGTTTTCTAGCCCGGACACCACGGGCTTCCCATCGCTATCCTGTATCACCCGCAGCGCTGGCGCGGCGTCGAGTAGCGTGAGGACTTCGTTGTGGCTTTGTAGACTGACGAGCACGGCCTCGGCTGAGGTCACGCAGCCGGAGCAGGCGAGACAATCGGTGAGGGAGATTTGGGCTGGCGGTGTTGTTCCGTTGGAGGAGGAACCGGTGGTGGGTTGTTGGCCGTCGAGGATGACTTCGAATTCGAGGGATTGTGGTTGTTGTGACTGTTCGGGGCCCGGTTGCGTCGGGAGTGTCTCGATGGGCTTGATGCAGGCGACGCCGGGGGAGATGAAGTCGTTGAGGTCGTCGGCTGACAGGATGGCCGACATTGTGGGCGAGCTAGCTTGGGTGCGTTGTCCCTAGGCGTTGAACGAGGGGATTGATTATCGCGATAGATTCTCAGTACTGGATGGGAGCTGCGGCCGCAAATTCGGTCGATGCAAGGCAACCCCGCGGTTTAGGTGACGCGCTTGAGACAACCGCCGGGCTAGTATCTATGATCTATGATAAGCCTCTGCGGTCGAATCTAATTCCGATAGATAACAGAAAACCGCCCGTGGGGGTATTTTTGTAATCTGAGGTCTTTGCGCCGGAGATGTACAATTTTAAGGTGACTGCTTTGAAATGCCATTGCACCTTTGCGGCATCGGCTGGTGGCGGTTTGGGTGCCCCGCTAAGAGGGTCCAGGCCCGCCGTTTTCCGCTGCCATGTGCCAATCACGGTGTTGGTATTAGGGAGCCCCATTTGTTAGTCCTTGACATTCCGTTCAAGAATAAGATGTCCCGGAACCGCTTGGCTGTATTTTTCCTGAATGTCATGAGTCTCTTTTTCGTCATATGTCAATTTACTTCGTATTCATTCTGTCGAGTTTAATTTCTTGCCTTTTCGCCCTTCCATCCCAGGCTTTTACATAATCTCGTAGTTAATGTACGTAGTTAATTAGTTAACTACATAGATACAGGAGTTATCAAAACTAGCGAGTCGACAAGGGGAGAGCCGCTGACCCCTGCAATGACGTCGGCGCATATCAAAAGAAAGCTTTCACTTTCACAGGGGGAGCTCCATTGAATAACAAAGCTCAAACGCAACTATTGAGCAGAAAAGAGTGACCACGGCCATCCTTTTCATACCCAGTCCCTCTCCTTTTTCCATGTAGCGCACGATGGATGTATGCCATTCTCCTACCACCCCCCTCCGAAACCAATTCACAAACCTAACCCGCCGCAGTCCGTATCAACCTACAGCGTCGCCAGCCTCGCCTGGCTAGCCACCCAAGCCATCCCACTCATAATCTGGCCCTCCCTAATCAGCACCCTCCTCCAAGTCGACAGCCCGCCCCAGCAAGGGGCCCAGTACGGCGCCGCCTACGGCTCTCTCGAACAATACTTTGCGCGCTCCCTCGGCCTCGCCCAACTCGCCCTCGGCAGCCTGCTGCTCATCCTCTCGGGCGCCCTCCCGCTCGACTCCGTCGCCGACCAAGGTTTGTCGTTTACCCACCTATGGCATTCACAACATCCTCATCCCTTACCTGTAAACCAACTAACCCCCTCTCCCCCCCTAGCAGCCACCCCAGCCACCACCACCGCCACCCCCACCGGCTCCGCCTCGGCCGCGGTGCTCGTAACCGCGCTGTACCACGCGGCGACGGCGTCGTACGCATACGCGCGGTACGCCGGCACGGGCGGGCGGCAGTTTGCGTACCTGTGCGGGTGCCTGGGGGGCAGCGGGCTGGCGGCGTTTGGGCTGTGGGTGCTGCTGTTTGCGGGGGACGCGAACCGGCGGGTGAGCCGGCGGACGGGGGCCGACAAGAGCACGAGCGGGTGGCCGTTCCGGAATGCTGAGGCGGATAAGAAGAGGGGTAAGGGGGGGGCGAGGCGCCGTGATTAGAGGGTTGTGTTGTGGGGGGGGGGGGGGGGGGGG